TGGCCAAGTGGGCCCTGTATATAACCAGGAAGGAGGCTCTGACCAGGAAGGTGCCCAGGGACTGCAGGGCTGCTTTCCTCTCACTTGTCTGTGCATGTTTCCAGACAGAACACCAATGAGTGGCATCCACTGGCTCCTTGGATAACTTTGAGGACCAGTGAGAGTGGCCTGGGGGGCTCTGCTTGGTGTCCCCCTCTGGAGAACTTATTTTGACCCTTTGACTCCCATATCTCTCCTATCCTGTTTTTTCCTTAGTTGTCCCACAAAATCAGTTGTTCCATTCATCCATTAGCCTCCGTGAAAAGGGGCTACTAGTTAGTCAGGTGGGCCTTAGAGCCCGTGATCAGTGATTGGACAAATAGGTAGTTGAAGGTTGCTATTAAATTGCAGTCTTCTCTTCTGCAAACTAAATAAGCCCAGTACTGCCATCACACCCTGGACCTTGTCATGAATTCTCATTGAATTGCATGGAATAAAAATAACTTTTGCTGCACTGTTAGGCTCTCCTACTCCTTGTAATTCTTATTCTTGCTTGGTGCCTTCTTATCTCTTAGTATCGTTTTTCTCTCTGCTGTAGTTCTGACTGCCCCATATCTCACATTATCTAATGATACAGCAGTATTCTCTTCCATTAGGATGCCAAAATAATCCATTGCTAAGGTTGAAAGAAATGGATTTTCAGGTGCATGCTGAACTCTGAAAAGTGACTGTATATAGAGAAAGTCAATTTGCTTAATTTAAATTTTTTTTTGATACTGCTTACCTCCTAGTAGCTCAGCAGAGCTACACTGCTGAAAAAAAAGTGAACTGAATTCTATTCTTATTGGACTTTGCCTGAATTTATGCCGTTACTGTCAGCTACCTCATTGCACCAGGTTGGATAGCAGGAGCATTAACTTGGTGACACTGGTAATGACAAAAACTAATAATACAAGTATAAATAAAGACATAATTTGACTTGCAGAATCTTTATCACTGGTAATAGAATGAACCTGGCTTGACTGTTTCAGAGCCCAGATTGAATCTGCTGTTCTGGCTGTTTGGATAAAAAATAATTCTGTTTGATATGCACATTACAGAGAAAAAAACTTGAAACTTCAAAAGGTATTTTCTAGTGACATACAGGAATCTAACTACATCATATTGTGATGTGCAAGGAGCAGGATTTGTTTGGTAATAGCCCAAGCTTTTGCAAGACGAAGCTCACTCTGAATCCGAATCAAATCAAAGGACCCCTTAATTTCTCCGAATCGAATAGGAACCCTCCAGATTGATTCGGAGATTCGCACATAGACAGCTTTGAATGTTTTTTCTACATACTTCTAAGTAGCAGGCGGCTTGTGAGTGCTGTGATGCTGGGGCACATGGAGCTCTCCAGCGTGCTCTGCAGCAGACCCAGAAGTGGACCAGAAGCACTTCCAGTCTACTTCTGGGTCAGCCGTAGAATGTGCAGGGGTCCCCCTGCACCCCCACCCTGGCTCAACGACTGGTGCCTCCTGGGTCTGGCGGGGGGCACCTGGGGTCCCCTCACAGCTGATCACTGAGCCGGGGGGGCCCCCCAGGGCTGTCCCCATTGGACATGGAAGTGGACCAGAAGTACTTCCGGTCCACTTCCAGGTTTGCTACCAAGCACATGGCGGGCCCCTGTGCTCGTGTGGGACGCCCCATCACGAGCTGCGCCTAGTACCTGGAGGTACATAGAAAAAACATTTAAAGCTGTGCCTATGTCCGAATTGCTGATTCTCTGAATCGGCATCGAATCTTCAGATTTGCATTCGGCTGAATCAAATCGGGGACAATGATCTGAATCAACCAATCAAACCACTGTCCCCGATTCTGGCCAAATCCAAATCTGAATCAAATAGGGCCCACTTCGCATACCCCTAACAATCAGCTATGACCTTATTTGGCCTGTTCATAAGAAAGTATTCTGAGAGAAAAAAGTGTTTCAGAGCCAGGCTCAATCATTGAAATCTTCAGAAAAATCTGTAATGTATACACAAAGCAACCACCTGACTGACATTTATTTAAAACTATAATAAAGCTGTTTCCTTAGGAACAAGGAGGATGTTGAGCCATTTTATAAAGATACTATTCATTAACATAAGTCTATTGCAGACAAACTCTGAGTATAAAACATTTCTGTATTCTACCCTCTCCCTACTTTGTATATTTATAGAACACAGGATTAGAACAAAACAACTGTATTTATTTTGCAAGAGCATAAAATATTTCAGCGGAGCTGCTCAGGGTAGTAAAGTTATTGTCTCAACCCTAACTGAAATGTTGTTTCATTCCTTTGGCTAATAAACATTAAAATGACCAAGAGTAAATTAGTGGGGTGGGGAAACCTGTTTTGAACAGTGGTTTTCTCTAAAGCGCCTTCCCTCCACCTCCCCTTTCTTGTATTTAGTGCTTATTCAGGCTGTATGGGGATGACTGCTAGTGTTTATTTAAAACTAAGAGCTCAGAACTGTAATAGTTCACATTCATTTTTAATAAAATCCTGACTTGCCAAGAAGAAAAGCTTTTCACCAGAAAGTAATCTAAGCCAAAGCAACTAACAGTTACCATTTCTTTTTTACTGCAGACTTTTTATTAACATGATATGTTTAGCATAAAAATACCATATCTAAGCAATGTAAACAGCCTGACGTAGCTGTCTAATAAAAACACATTTTCTCCAAAAATGCTGAGTCACACGGAAATTCATACAAGGCAAAGCTTTCCAGTCTAAACGTCTCAAGTTAGTAATTTACATCACTGGATTTTCAGAGACCAAACAAACAGGATGTAAATTTGCTTATAACAGGTGAAGTACAGGACAGTGTAATGTGCCAGTTATAATATAGGTGGGCCAAGGATAAGCAGATTTCAGATGCAGTTCAACCTTGGCTTCTTTGCCAAGTTGGCCAGCAAGTGTGCTTCTTCTGAAAGGTATCCAGGTTGTAGCCATATTGGGCTAGGGGAAAAGCAATCAGGACTCATGGTAGAGGTGATCTCTTTTATTAGGCCAACTAGATTTTTGCAAAAAATATTAAAAAAAAAAAAAAAAGAAAGAAAAAGATTTTTTTTGCAAAAATCTAGTTGGCCTAATAAAAGAGATCACCTCTACTATGAGTCCTGATTGCTTCTTCTGAAATAAACGTTTTCTATGCCAATTTAATACTAATAACAGAGTTACAAGAGTAATTATGCTCTCACATTGTGACTCTAACTGCTTAAGCCTTAAATTAAGTAGTATAGCAATAGGAGATCTCTCCAATCTAAAACACAAAAGGAGGAAAAATCTCAGTGGCATACTCTTTTTCCCTTGGAGTTATTGTTTGCACAGACCCCCGTAGTGTGCAAGATAACATTTGCAGGACACAAAAACACCCGCACCGCAGGAAATCAAAGTTTCCTGTGCCTAGGCCTGTTCCCGCAGAGTTTCTTGTTTTCCTCCACATACAACTTAACTCTGCCCTACAATTCCCCAGATGCTTCAGAGACTTATGTCCCTGGTTGGAGACTGTCCCACATCTCCAATAGAAAAAAGCCCCTTCACACCATCTAAGCCTTCTGGGTCCAGCTCTTTCTTGCCCCTTGCCCCTTTCCATTGTTCAGGCTGTGTAAGCAGATAAAATTAGGCATAAGATACGCTCCTGCTCTCAAGGGCCTCCCTCCCCAGTTGCAGGCTGGCAGCCTCCACAGCACAGGGAGGGAAGGGAGGCTGGGGATGCTGAGGGAGGGAAGGGAGACCTGGCACTGCCATGCTCCTCCTAGTCTCTATTCCTAGGTGCTCCTAGGTGCCTCTGGATCAGCCCTGAAAGCAGGTTCAGAGCATGGGGAGGGCTCAAGAGACACATTTGCCAAGGCCCCAGGCCACTGCCACGCTTATAACAGGAGTGGGGCCTGCATGTGTATGTGGTGCAATGCGTGCAGTGTGGCATGTGATGCATTGTGGTATGTGTGTGGCATGGCGTGTGCATGTATCATGTACATGTGGCATGGCATGTGCACATATAGCAGTGTGAGGCATATGTAGTGTGGCATGTGCAGACAGCTTGTACATGTGGTGTGGCACATGCATGTATAGCACGGTGTGTGGCATATGTGGTGTGGTGTGTGCATGTAGCATGTACGTGCGGCGTGGCATGTGTACATATAGCACAGTGTCGTGTGTAGCGTGGCATCTGCAGGCAGCATGTATGTGTGGTGTGGCACATGCATGTATAGCACGGTGTGTGGCATATGTGGTGCGGCATGTGCATGTAGCATGTATGTGGCATGGCATGTGCATGCAGAGCACGGTGTGTGGCATATGTAGCGTGGCATGTGCATATAGCACGTCTGTGTGGAGTGGCACGTGCACGTATAGCACGGTGTGTGGCATACATAGCATGTCACGGGCACGTAGCATGTACGTGTGGTGTGGCATGTGCAGCTATCCGTGGCACACCCGGAGAGACACGGTGCGGACCTCATAACCAGCCCCTCAGCATGCAGCCTTCTGCAAAGCGGGCGGGCCAGTCTCACTGGAAACTGCCCCGCCCCCTCCTGGCTGCCCCCTGCCGAGCTTTCTAGGAACCGGCCCCGCCCTTTTCCCCCTTCTCCCCCGTCCACGCCGCGGCGGTGCGCTCCCATTGGCTGGAACGGGCAACCGCCCCGCGCCCCCCCCCCCACCC